CTGTCCAGCATCCCCCAAACCTGTCCAGCATCCCCCAATCCTGTCCAACATCCCTCATTCCTGTCCAGCATCCCCCAAACCTGTCCAGCATCCCTCAATCCTGTCCAGCATCCCCCAAATCTGTCCAGCATCCCCAGGTCTGCCACGGAGAAGGAATTTCTTCTAATCATGGGATGCAGTCGCTCAGTGGGATCAGCAAAGACCCCAGGGTACCCTGACAGCAGCCCCAACAGCCAGCCAGAAAACAGGGCAAAGAGCTCTGCACCGAAACGAAACAGAAGCAGCCAAACGCTTGAATCTTTACCTTTTTTAATCAAAAAACATACTCTGTTACAGAATTTCAGGAAAGTTTAACTACAGTATATTATCCACAAACTAGGCCTAATGAAAAACATACAGTGAAGCTACAAAGGAACTACTGGGAATTCTGTTGACCGCTTATCAAAAGGCAATGAAGGAAGGAACTCTTAACCAGGTTCTCATGCTCAAAACAAAAAAACAAACAAACAAACAAACAAACCCCAAACCCCCTCTCACGGGCGAGTTTTGGGCCACGGGTACACTCTGCAGCCCCCGAGCCAGCTGAGCCACAACCCCAAACCGCACCAGGAGGACGCAGAAGGTGGTGCTGGAGCAGGGAAGAGCTGGCTGGGCTCACTAAGCTCGTGCCAACCCTGCGAACCCGCCAGGGGCGAGTCACTCACGAGGCACAGCAGCAGCCAACAGCGCCAGGAGCTCCGGGAGGGGTTGCCAGCGGGCGGCTCTGCTTCCACAGGGTCCCACCCAGCGACACTTTGGCGGCGCCGAGAGGCAGAGTCAGCTCCAGGGGAGCCTCGGGAGTCGGCCCTCTGAGTCAGCACAGCCACAGCCCGGGAGGATTCACAGGAACGTTTACAGGGAGCGCGTGATGGCACAACGGGGAGGAGATGCTCAGCTCCCATGTGATGCTGGAGAAGTGCTTTCCATTGGTTTGGTTTCCCTGCCCGGGACCCAAGTGCCAACGAGCTGCAAGAAGTAACCAGCTGAAGTGCTGAGGAATGACCCACGGGGATAGAAGTAACCAGCTGAAGTGCTGAGGAATGACCCACGGGGAGAGAAGTAACCAGCTGAAGTGCTGAGGAATGACCCACGGGGAGAGAAGTAACCAGCTGAAGTGCTGAGGAATGACCCACGGGGATAGAAGTAACCAGCTGAAGCGCTGATGAATGCACAGCTCGGCCCCAAGAACAAAAAAAAACACCTGCCCCCAGCCCGAAGGAACGCTCCTGCGACCGGCAGGTGCCCCTCCAAAATCACCCCCTGTTAGAATTCAGGGCTTTCAAACCACTCCAGCGGGAGGGTTGCCTCTCCTGCGCCTCTTAAGGTGTTACCTCGGAATGCCCTCACCCTCCAAACCAACAGCAACTGGGACAAAGCCACCTAAACCAAGCGAAGTTACAAAGTGTTCTTCCGAGGGTGGGAAACACAGGGGCTAACTGCTTCATCCAAGGAACTAAGCGGGGCAGACGCGGGAACAGGAGGTCCGAAGATGGAAAAAAAACCCTCGCTGGGCTCAGCGGATTTGAGAGATTCAGAGCTGGGGAGGCACAGCCCTGGCACCCCTGAGGTCCCTGCCTGCAGCGCACACAGGGGATCATCACGGCTGTCAAGGAGCTGCAGCTCTTCTCCCACCCTCAGGCACAAATGACAGGCTGTCAAAGGCTCAGCGTGCTGCTGCTGCTGGGTTTCCAACCCATTGTGTGCTGCCTTTCATGCCTTGTCATAAGAGCACAAAAGTTAAGCTAAAGGCGTATTAAAAACTGAGGATGAGATTTATCTCATTGTGTCCTTAAAACAGCTGTGAACCGGGAACAATGCCTCTCCAGTGCTTCACTCACTGCCTCACACAATGCTCAGATTTCTCCTGACGGACAGCCTGTGGTTTCTGGGTTCAGGTGCTGCTCCACTCTGAACATTCTGGGCCATCTGTGGCCACCCTTGTAGGTGGAGACCTGCGAAACACCCGCGAACAGACCAGCCCAAACAGCCGGGTTTTTTCCAGGGTGTGACCACCCAAGCACGATGAACACCCTGCAGAGAGATACACAGGGAACAAACCCAGGGACTCCCCCCGGAGCCTGCAACGAGCAGCTCATCAGCCAGAAGGTCAGGCACTTCCCAAACGCCCAGGCACCTCCAGGCACAGATTCCCGGGGGGAATCTGGCGAAAGGAATGCCCAGCCAGGCATTTTGTTTCTTCCCCCCCTCCCCCTAGATCAAGGTCTGTGTTGTGAGCTGCTGGTTAAGGAGCCTCTCCCAGGATGTGGCCAAAGGTGTCCCTCGAGGACATGGGGCGAGCTGGGGTTTGGTGAAACGAGACCGCTGGGAAGGAGAGGAGACTGGAAAAGGTTCTGAGCTGAAGGCCTTGAGAAAAGCAAGCACTGCTTCCTCCAGAGATCGAGAAGCCGCCACGTAAGAGGAACGAAGGACAAAGTGGTCTCATCAGAAGCCAGCCCGGAGGAGGCAACAGCCCACGAAAATACAGAGAAACCGACCCGTTTGTGGCCATCATCCCAAAGCCATCCATCCTAAGAGGGAACAGTGACGCCTGGCTTCCCTCCCAGGAACTCCAGCACGTGGGAAAAGCGGCGCCTGAACACCGAGCGCCACAGCCCTCCACAGATCCCTGCGACTACGCCAGAAACTCGGCAAAAAGCTCCTGAGCAACCCTCTCCCGGGGTCTGTCCCTCTGTTACGGCGCTCCAAGGACTCCGGGTGGAGCCCCTGCCCTTCCGTGCCCGCTGAACTGAGCTCCAGCTCCCCCCCCGCACAGAGGCTGCAAGGGAAAGGGAATTCCGGCTGCCTCCTCCTGCCCCGAGGAGAGAGATCCTCGGGACGCTCTGCTCCTGAAAGCAAAGAAAAGCTGGACCTGTTCCCTGGCCAAGTTTGAACCCACACGAGGAGCCCCTGCCACTGTTGGCTGCTGCTGGACCTGCAGGGGGAAGGGATCTGCGGCTTCGAAGGCGCGGAACCGCGGAACAGAAGCAAACTAAATTTATATTAAAAAAAAAAAAAAAAAAATCGGGGTTTTCCATCCTTTTATTTATACTATTAGCTAGAGAGAAAGCATACACATTGTATCAGTCGTACAGCCGACGCTTCTTTGCACGTTTTTTTTTTTTTCTTCTTTTTTCCCCCCCTCCCCCCCCTTTACTGTAAATTCTCTACGCGAGGTCATTGCCAGTTGATACGGTCACCGATGGCGTTTAAGGGCTTCAAAAATAAACCGAGGGGCAGGAAAAAAACGGGTTTGCCATCTCGCCCTGAGTGGAAACGGCGAACAGGTACCAAAAAAAACCCAAAAAAACCCAAAAAAAACCCCCCAAAAAAAACCAAAAAAAAGAACAAACCCCGGTCCCGGGCTGTCGCACGCGGCGCTGTCGTGGCACGTGGCGAGCGAAAAACAGAGTGGTGCTGATTAATCCTGACCGGTTCTGCTCGAGCAAAACGTCAGAGAGGTCAGCAGTAATTACGAAAACACGCTCCTGCAACTTCAGTGTCAGCTCTGCAGACCCCACGCTGCTGCACCCCAACCGAGTGCCCTCCTTTAGTGTTTTGGTTTTAAAAAAAAAAACTCACATGGCTTTATAAGTAGAAAAAAAAAAAAAAAAACTAAGGTATCTTTTTTTTTTTTCCTCTCCCAAAAAACCTAATGATGAAGTTTTTAACCGACAATGTCATGTTGTCTCATCCCCTCACTTTTTTTTTTGGCAGCTTCTAGGCTTTAACCTGGAAAAAAACCATAACAAGGTCATCGACAAAAGTAAAGAAGTCTCCTGCTAACTACTCTTCCCTAAACAGAACGTCACAAATCAGCTGGAATTTTAAAGGCCCTATAAGGTAAATGTTTGTAACTATTAGAAGGAAAAATTTCAGATATAAATATATATATATAATATATATTCTGCGTACAAAAGGCTCCTGTGAAGTTTATCACCAAGATGCCACGATAAGAGAAGGAAAAAGTTTCAGAGGGAACAAAGGGACCAAACCCAACACTGTGAAGCCTCCAAAGGGCGCTCACCTTTCGCTTTTCAAAGCCCCCGTTATCCCGACAAATTTTAAGTTCTGAAAAAAACAACTGAAACCCCAAAATTTCCGCGCGTTCGGTTTCCTTTTTTCTGCTGAGAGCAAGGCGGCAAACACATTTTTAAAACCTGGTTTTGTTTTGTTTTTTTTGTTTTTTTTGTTTTTTTTTCCGGAAGGTTAAGCAGAGACAGAAGTTAAGATGTATCTCCGGGTTATAAACAGAACGGTTATGATACAAATCCACCATCCCTCACGGCGCCGCGGGCGGGGTCTCAGTCCAGGGGCTGGGGGTCCGCGATGGGCATGGTGTGCAGCACCTCGTCCAGCAGCTGCAGGGCGCGGTGCAGGTGGATCTCGATCCAGCAGGGCGTCTCCTTGATGCTCTGCCGCGGGTAGTCGGGCCCCCAGCCCTTCACGAAGCTCATCCTGAGGATGCACAGGCGGCGCAGGTCGTCCACGCCGATCCCGGCGGCGGCCGACAGACCTGCACGGCAGGGGCGGGGGTGGTCACACTGTCCTTTCGTCCCCTCTCTGCTCAGACACCCCTGCCTGCTCAGGTACAGCTCCCCCTCCCCTGCCTGCTCAGGTACAGCTCCCCCTCCCCTGCCTGCTCAGGTACAGCTCCCTCTCCCCTGCCTGCTCAGGTACAGCTCCCCCCTCAGCACGGGGACAAGGCCAACCCACTCCTCCACATCTCTGCTGTTCACTGGGATTCCTCACATTCTTCTCCCAGTGTTCTGCACGCCTGAAAGGGTGCTGAAACACACCTTTCTGGTCAGTTCTGCACGCCTGAAAGGGTGCTGAAACACACCTTTTGTGTCAGTGTTCTGCACTCCTGAAAGGGTGCTGAAACACAAAGCTCTCCCTGATCAGAGAATCACAGAAGGGTGGGTTGGAAAGGACCTTATAGACCATCAGTTCCACCCCCTGCCATGGGCAGGGACACCTTCCACTAGCCCAGGTTGCTCCAAACCCCATCCAACCTGGATTTCCAACACTTCCAGGGATCCAGGGGCAGCCACAGCTTCTCTGGGCAACCTGTGCCAGGGCCTCACAGCCAGCAAAGAATTCCTTCCTAACACCCCAACTAAACCTACATAAAGCAGATGGGATGAAACCCAAATGCCCTGCAACGCATGTAAACCCTCTTTAGGAAGCACAGTCACAAAACAGTTATTCCTGAGGTTTGCCCAACGCTGCATTTTCAGTCTAGGAACTCAGACTGGTCACCTGCAGGAAGCTGGGTTAGCAAAATGACACTGCTCACACAGCCAGTAAAATAAAAAGACAAAAATAAATACAGCTGGCAAACTTCAGTTCACAAGGCAAAAAAAAAAAAAAAAAAAAAAGAAGTTTAATACATTCCTCAAAATGCCTTAAACAATTCTTAGGACGGTTGGGAAGAGCCACATGGCAAGACAAGGAACCAAGAACACACTGTGGCACGCAAAGCAGACTGAGACATGTAAGTACTTTCACTTTTAAAGGTGCTTCAGGAACGATTTCAAGGATCCAGAATTTAGCAGCTAAGAAAACGCCACCCTAGACTAATAATAATAATAAAAAAAAAAGAAATAAAAGAAGAGAAAAACGCTCTCTTCCTCGAGGATCTTAAGTTTTCCTACACACCTGGTCAAGGGCTTTTGTTGCCCAGTAATCCCTTTTTAGGAGCTCAGGCACCGAAGATCCGCTTTTCAAGCTGGGGTCTGAGCAGCCAAAACCGCCTCTGTCTGAAGTGAAAACACTCCCCCATTGTTTTCGGGGGGGCGAGGAGAACAAAAGCAAACCGAGCTGCTGGAGGCACTTACTGATGGCTGGGGCGATTCCACCCACGGATCCCGGCCCGGGGATGTTCCCTGCCACGGCTGCAGCCTGAGCGGCAGCGGCAGCCTGGGCAGTGGCAGCCTGCTGCTGCATCTGACGGTGGCACTGGCGCAAATCAAACACCTGAGAACAAAAACATTGAAACACCCGACCCGGTCAGAGTCGTCAGAATCAACAGGGGACAGAACTCCCCAAATCCCGCCCCCCCCCCAGTAACCTTTCTGAGAGACTTCCGCGGTCCCACCACACGCCTGGGTGGAAGTGAACCTTTCCCTGACTGGTTTCATTTCCAGCAGAAAATAACCCCTTTAAGCTGATCCTCAGAGGTTCCTCCCGTGATGTCACCGCCACTGGCAGTACCAGAACCTGCCTGAAGCAGCGCCTCGGTGTGGAAACGACCCGCAGGGTCACACAGGCTGAAGGATGCCTGGTTATATTCCTGCTTTCCAGTCAAACCCCTGGACTTCCAGAAAATAGGCACACGAATTAAAAAAAAAAAAAAAAAAAAAAGGCCAACAAATAAAACACGTAAATAAACGAAAATATAAATGATAAAATAATAAACAAACGGACCAAACAACTTTGCTTCACTGAACTGTGCTAGTCTATTCAAAAGAAATACCAGCAGCTGACAGGTCTGAAGCTGCAGGTTTCGGGCTGATGGCATTCTGCACCTCTGTGATCACTAATCACTATTTGCCATCAATTAACCTACAGGAACTCTGTTCTCACAACTAGAAGGCTCCTACACAGAGGCTGGTGGAGTTTCTTTCACCTTCACTGAGTAATTTGCCTGCAAAACCGAGGATTAAAAAAAAAACAGCCCGCCGCAGGTTTCAAGCAGTTTAACACAAGACTGATTTTTCACAAGCGTGGCTTCGTCCAAAATAAAGCTTAAAGCCTGGCAGAGGTGCGCCCAACCCAGAACCTCCCCAAAACACTCTGGTTTCCACACAGCTCCCTCTGATCTCTGGATCACTTCCCCTCTTCGTAACCAGTTCAAAACGCGTTTTACGTTCCTACTGAATTTACACGCGTTTTCCCCGCTTTTCGGAGAGAAGGAGTTGACTGAACCTGCGCTAAAAATTTTAGGTTTAGACCTAAAAATACCAAAACCTGCCGGCGATGAAACACAAAATGAACTCACTTTTGAGGTACCCCGACGACACCTTCAGCTCGGGGCGATTTTTACAGGTTCCCCCCAGGCGAAATTCTCAGGCCGTTTTTTTTGGAAGCGCCTGTTTCTGCGCCTCCCTAACATCTCCAGGAGCCTGCCTCCCCCAGGCCCCCAGTTTTCAACCCAGGAGCCCCAGACCCACCTTTATGTATGCACTTGGGTAGATCTTGTGCACGGCGTCCCCCGGGGCACGTCCCGCCTCCCTGTCCAGGTAGTAGCTCTGCACGAACACCGCGTGGTCGCTCAGGCACCGCACCCACACGTCGCCTTCCCCCTTGCACTCCAGCTGCACCCCTTTGCCTATGTGCAACCTTGGGGAGGGGGAAAAAACAAACAAACAAACAGAGCCAATGCACCCGTGTGCTCACGGCAGAACGAGACACGAGCCTGTGTCGTTCTCTCCCTCCCGCCTGCGGCGCCTCAGCTTCGCGCTCCCCGCCCGCGCGAGGACCTGAAACCGGAGTTGTTGTTTTAGGGGCGAGTTAGTGCCTAGTTACGTGGAGCTGAGAGATAAAAACCCACCTGTGGAGTCATGTAAAGGTCTGTGGGAAACACAGAAGGCAGAAGCAGAGATTAGCAACTACCACACTCGCAGGCAGCACAGGGCCGGGACACCAAACGGGCTCAGAAGCGTAAAGTCACACAAGTATTTTTTTTTATGGAAAGTCACTCAAGAACATTAAAAAAAAAAAAAAGGCACATTTTAATGCAGAACTGTTTGTCTGGGTCACAGTCTAACATTTTGATTGTCACAACGTGACATTTCCGGAGACACGGAGTCGTTTTCTTCCTTCTCCTTTCAAAGAGGGGGAAGAAAAGCCGCGAGGTTGCTTTCAGCTCTCCGTGCTTCCACATCAAAGCCCAGCCCAAGCACGGCAGGAGAATGAAAACCCAGCAGCTCCCTATGAACCTCCCTTTGCTCCTTTGACAAATCTCTGTGCTGCAGCCCTTCTCACACCACCCTGCAGTGTGGAGAGCCAGCACTCACTCAGCCCGCACACGCAACGGCACGAGTCGCTAATTTTATCCCCGAACCACAGCCTCTGGAAGCAAAGCAGAGAGAGGCTTGCAAGGCCTCTGCAGGGCTCTTGTCACACAGCTCACCACCCCAGGAGTGGCACAGAGAGACACACTCCAAGGTGACTCAGCCCAGACGAACACAGGCGCCGGCTCTGGAGATCCCACGCACCGCAAGGCAACACAAAAAAGCACGACCACCGCCCCACGGGAGCTCTCAGGGGGTACCTCGCTCTCTCTATGGCTTCTGTTCTGTGCACGTTGGAAAGCTGGCCCAGGCAGAAGCGGTCTCCCCCAGAAGGATCCACGTATCCGTCCACGGTGACGATGGGGCAGCTGGAGGGGACCTTGAACGTCTCCCCGACCTGCACGTCCATCTCGAAGTACGCGATCGAACACCAGTACTCTGGGGCTGAGGAATGCTCACAGTTAACCCACTGGAAGGCGCGGAAAAAAAAGCCTGCAAATCCACTCCAGACAATCAATTAAGCCTTCTGCAAACTGCAGCTGTCGTTCAGAGAGGAGTGCACGTTCACATAAGCAAGTTCTGATAGACAAAGGCATGTCAGCAACACAGAAAAATACCACACTCGGGGACAAACACGGGCTTGTTGTTTTTATCAGTGCTGGAGGCTTCTGCAGCTAAGGTCTTACAAGTTTTTGTGCTTGTACCCTAATTCCAGCTGGATTTTGTAAGCCACCTGCACTTCATAAGTACAGCTTTAAGTACAAGGAAGTCGTATGTTTATGCCCACACGCCTGGCTGGGCTGGCAGAAACGAACTCTGAAACAGATCTGGCTTTGAGATACAGGAGGAATCACCTCCCAGGTGAAGTCGGATTTCTCTACCCTCCCTGCAAAGGGAACTGGATCTGGAAAGCAGGGCAACGGGGGGGGGGGGGAAAAAACACCACATCAAAGATCCCACACACCGATCTTGTCTGCACACAGTCGGGGATGGGATAAAACCAGGAAGCATTAAGAGAGGGGGCAGAACAAAACGGCGTGTTTTCACAGCAAAGAGGTGCCTTTTAACTCCTCCTGGCTGCCTGAAAAACTGCCTGCAGAGGAAAGATGGCTGCCTGCAAAGGAAGGAAGGCCCAGGCTCCCCGGAGGGTTCCACTGAAACCCAAACACTCCAGTTAAGTGACGGAACCTGCCGGAGGAGACAAGGTGGTTTTGCACAGGAGTGTCTGCTGTCTCTGTGCCACCTGGGAGCATCTGGCCTGTCAAGCCTCCTGAGGTGTGCTGTGTGTGCTTTTCACTGTTTAATAAGAGTTTCTCTCTCCTCAGACGCGTTAAAACCTGAAGCTGTCACAAGCTGCAGTCACCGGGGATTCTGGGGACTCGGCACTTCTAGTGACTGTAAGGATCCGTTTTCACCAAAGGGTAACACAGCTGGGACGTGTTTGTCAGGGAGGGTAAAGAAAATGCTGGAATCACAGGCTGGTTTGGGCTGGAAGGGACCTTAAAGCTCAACTTAGCCCCACCTCCTGTCACCTTCCACTATCCCAGGTTGCTCCAAGCCCTGTCCAACCTGGCCTTGGACACTTCCAGTGATCCAGGGGCAGCTACAGCTTCTCTGGGCAACCTGTGCCAGGGTCTCACCACCCTCAAGAATCTCTTCCCAATATCTAATATAACCCCTCTGCCAGTGGGAAGCCATCTCCCCCCGTCCTGCCACCGCATCAGCACCGCAGTGCACCCAGAACAGGAGGAGCAGAACACGATGGAACGCCCCAAACACAACACCCTGAGAAGCAGTGGGGAAGGAGAGCTCTCCCAGTGCTGCCACTGATCCTCCCACACCACAGACAGCAGCACCCAACAGCACACTTGCTCGCCTTGAGGAACTGTTCTGGCTCTTATCAGAAAAAAATTAAACCGAGGAGCCTCAATTCCTTTTAGTTTATCTTCAAATAAATTGCTCCTCTCTGGGAGGACTCAGCGGGATGAAATCAACGGGGTGAAAGACCAACATAAAAAAAAAAAAAGTGAAATACGATTCAGCTACAGTTAAAAGTTCAGCCAGTAACTATCAGCAGTTTAATTCCTGGCACTGCCCTAGCAACGGGCCAAGGAATAAACAAGGAATAAACTTTTAGGCTTTTCAACTACGCAGGTCTCATCTCCAAAAGAGATGTCCAAACTCAAGTATGGTTCCCCTCCTTCTCACAGTATTAGTATATCTATATATCTATCAATATTAGCACCACATGTTAGTGTTCACTCACCAGGATGATTTGATATTGGAGGCTGGAATGCGAGCTCGTTGTGAACCGGCCCTTTAAAAACAAGACATGCAATTTGTTTTACACGAGGGAAAAACGAGGTTTTCTTTCTTAGCTTGTTTTCCTATGAAATAAATCACACTTCATTAGTTTCCTCCATCACGGAACAAGTTGTCCAGCATGCTGTGGACTTGACCATAGGAGACAGTCCCTCGAGATGGGGGAAAAAAAAAAAAGCCCCAGAGAACTCATTTTCTAAAGGAAAAAAAAAATACTGAATACAGTCCTGGTACGAGCCAGATTCTTCTCTCCACTTTATGAAGTGACTGGGTCCCTTACAGGCAGCGGGGAGGAAAGACTCAAACATAGTATTACAAGCAGCAGCAGCTTTTGCAACAGGATGTCAAAGCAGGCACAACTCTGGTAGGTGTGAAACACGCCAACTTCGCGAAGTGAGAAACACGGCAGCAGCCAAGAAAAGCTCAGTGTGGCACCACCAGCCAGTCACAAACATTAACCACGGAAAGACACGGGCACTGGGAAACATCTACGGAGTAGCCACGGCACCACCAGAGCTTCTTCCACCCCGGCATATTCCTCACAGGTAACACAGGATCAGTGAGGTGGGATCCCAACGGAACAAAGCAATAAAATCTAATAATTGTCTCTGCGCCGCGGTTTTGTTCATGGAGACAAGATGAAAAGTGGTTCTAACGCTGATGTACAGCATATCTCTCTCCTCCACTAGCTGCTGCATGCCAGTGATCTATATCAGAGTATGTGTTACATGTTCTAATAAGGGGAACATTCTAATAAACACTGTGTTAGAAAAAAAAGAGCTGTTCCAGCTTTCTGCCACAAAACTTAGAAAACTTATATAAAACCCCTGTAATGCATTAACTGTGCTGCACACACCTCCACTACAAGTCTGATCACCTTTTTTTTTTCCCTTCCCATCTCCTCTACCTTAAAACAAGAGAGACTGTTGTCCTGTTTCACAGATGAAAAAGATTTTCAGCTCTGTGTGCTGATGCACTCGTGGATCAGGCTGTGGCAAAGACCACTTTTATTGACAGGTGTTTCGTGCACAGTGCTCCAGGGAAGTTCTTTTAAACTGGGAAGTGTGCACGGGCACAGGTCTTCTAAAAACCTCCAGAAAATGAAGACAGCCAGGAATTTTCAAGTTTTGAAAGGAAAAAAAAAAAAATACCCGCGCCAGCTCAACTTCCTTTTTCTGCCAGGGAAAGGCTTAGCACAGGACTGCAGAGCTTTAAAAACAGAGGTTTTAGGAAGGAAAGGCTACTTTTGTTAGGTGTAGTGAGAGATGTGTAACATAAAGGGTGTCACTACAACTGAGTTTCTACCTCTGCTGCTTCAAAAGAGGGAAGACCCTCAAGCTCTAGGCTGTCAGAACACAGTAAGGGGGTAATGGTGGTTCTGTAACCACAGATGGAGGAGTGGGGGGTAAGGGAGGAGCAGGAATGAGCTGTCCTAGTTAGGACAGCTGGGACCAGTTCATCACTGGATGGGTGTAACCCAAACCTGTGTATTCTAGAGCCTTCCATGCCATTTCCCAGAAACTGTTACCAATAGACCATTTACACCCTCTGCCCAGAGCAGCCCTGACTCCTCAGGCTGTAAACTGGGTGTTCAGAGGCCTGTGAGATAGGAGGGTGTCCCCTGTCCTCATGCCCTTTGTGGAACTCCCCGTCCTGAGGGAGGCACTGGGCATTCCTGCCTGAACTGGAGGATAGATAATCTTGGAGTCTTGGGACTTTTTTAACCACTCATGGGATCCAGAGGAAGACTGCAGATCACCACTCTTGACCAGACTGAGACCACCACTCTTGATCAGACTGTGACCATCACTCTTGACTAGACTGCAACCACCACTCTTGACCAGACTGAGACCACCACTCTTGACCAGACTGAGACCATCACTCTCAACCAGACTGCAACCATCACTCTCAACCAGACTGCAACCATCACTCTCAACCAGACTGCAACCACTACTCTCGACCAGACTGTAACCACCACTCTCACCAGACTGCAACCATCACTCTTGACCAGACTGTGACCATCACTCTTGACCAGACTGTGACCATCACTCTCAACCAGACTGCAACCACCACTCTCAACCAGACTGCAACCA